CCTGGCTCCAAACTCGGCCGCAGGTTGGAATCTGCCAGGAGCTTTAAAAACTGCCAATGGCCGATCCCACCTGCACAGACAGATGTAATGAGGCTAGCATAAGATCTGGGCATTGGGATTTTTTTAATCACCCCAGTTGATTATTATATGCAGCAGAGTTGGGGAGCACAACTTTTCATACACAGAGCATTCTGCACAAACACTCTGCCGATGTTCTCAGACAGAAGAGCACAGTGGGGCACCAGCACCCCAGGAAAAGCTACACCCACCTCTCAGAAGCCTCCCCACACCCCACTTTCCAAGGTCACCATCACCCTGAAATCGAAAAATATATGAGCTCTCCCGGCTTAAATGCTTCTTTTTTTTGAATCATATTCTACAGGGAGACTCTTTGTTGGGAAAAGATACCAACCAAAGAGGTTTGTATCACATGAGATCCACCCAGAAGGGATTCCTGGAAGAGGTGATACGTAAGGGAGGACCTGAGAGAGGCAACAGGCAGGAAAGAGGGAAGGGAGGGGGTTGGTAAGAGAGGACGGCAGCAGTCAGAGAAGAGGCACAAAGGCTGAAATGCTGTCTGTCCATTTCTAAGGAAACCCCCTCTAGGCCAAAGGTATTTTAAAAGCACATTCTTTTTTTGCAAGTATCCTCAGCTTTGTAGGCAATGGTTCCACACATTTTTACTGAGCACGGACTGCATTAGATTTGGGAGTATTGAGACGAATAGAACTTACATTTTAATTTGGGAAGACAGACAATAGATGGGCAAGTACATGAAGAAGAGGATCCCCCCGAGAAGGAGTGGGACAGATAGGGTGGGCCACAGAGGTTTAGAGCATCTGAGTTTAGAGCAAAGAGGGAAAACAGATCTGGGAGAGGAATCTTGGGGAAGGGAAGAGTCAGCACAAAATCCCTGACCACCTGTACAGGGGACATTATGGTAACTCAGACATTCTCCCTGGCTGAGGAATCTTACAGGCTACCCCAAAGCCCAGTAATTAGGGCAGGGCCCTGCACTCGGCAGGCACTTGGAAAATGTTTGTTTTAATCACATTGGGTAGGATGGAGCCCAGCTCAGCAGTAAGACTGACTAACAACAATAATAACAAATTCAATACGGCACGCGGGGATTCACAGGCTGCTACGGTGTGATGAGAGGACTTTTCAATCCCACCCTTTAATGAATCCACCCAAGCACATATGCCCTTTCCTGTTCCTTATGTGCAAAGTCTGTGAACTTGATTCACTTGTTACAAAACTCAGCTTTTGTCCAGGAAGCCTCCTCCTGCCTGGCATCTTATCAGAATCCCCTGAGAACTTCACAAATTTCAGGTTTTCTGGCCCCACCTTGGTATGTAATTAAGTCAGTCTAGGATGGGACCTTACAAAGGAATAAAATAAATCCCCAGGTGATTCTTATGTTCAACCGGTGTGGGAACAACCGTTCTACAAGGTGGGGTTGAGTCACTCCAATCAGTTCATGCCCTTACACATCCCCAATCTGTTGCATCCTAGAAGCTAAGTTCTCTGGAGGCTTAAACGCAGCATTACTCCAAGACACCAGCTCTTGGAAGAAGTTTCCAAAAGTGCCCGAGTCTGTGGCTTAGATCAACGCCTATGCCACCAGACAAGATCTGAACCACAATTTACCCTCTGTTATTCTTCAACTATATTGAGTTTTAAAATTCGCATCCAAATGCGTTTAGACTTTAGGTTGCTATCCTACATAAAGAACAGTACCTTTCACTAAAATAACAGGTAACAATACAGCAAATTCAATGAAAACAAACCATTTTTTTAAAAGTCTATCCAGATATTCTTGATCTTCCCAAAGCCGTGAGCCTGAGATCTATGGCAAGTGGGTTGAAACACGGGAGTTAGCGAGTGTTAGGTATGAAAGCAACCCTAGCACCAAGTGGAGACTTTTCCATGTTGAAAGAGAATTGGAAAGTATTCACTTTCTCACTATATGACTCAATGTTATTTAATGGTATGTCTACAACACTCAACATCTGGGTACCATTGTGTTATGCGTCCCACTGGTGTAGCCAAAATTGTCTACGTTAACTAGGTCGGTAGCAATAGGAAGAAATACAAATTAGTAAAAGAATACTCCAGAAGTGTGCAGCCAACCATGTGTTGGTAGCCAGCCAGGAAGTAGAGATTGCAGAGTTATTAAAATCACCTCCCTACGCCCAGCTCCTGAATTCCCTCTTTCCTAGTTCCCAGTCTGTTGGAGACATGATCACTGGAGGTTTTGAAGGTGAGATTTCTAACTGATACTTCCCAGCATCTCCTGGGCTTGGGTGATACTTGCTGTACCCAACAGGAACAATAGATGTTGTTTAAATGACTGGGAGTCATACAAATAGCAGATCAACAGCATGGGGCGTCTAGGGAATATGCTGAGTTCACCATGAGCTTGCTGTAAGCTCAGTTCTCTTTCTGTTCAGGCCTGAAGTCCTGATCTATGACCGCAGGCCAGCAGGGTTTTTACTCAATAGCCCATAGCTCAGTGCTCCATAAAGGTGTATTGGGTAATTAGAATTAGTATATTTTTGTTTACACTGCCAACACTGAAATGGGGGGAGGGGTTGGTACCTCAGTTGCCTAAGGACTAGGTTGGGCAGGGATGGTCATGGGTGGAGGCTGTTTGGGTGATTTAGGGCAGGTGAGTTAACAACTTGTACCACACGTGAGAAACATGTGGGGATGTTAAAAATGATTAAACAGCACTTTGCAAACAGTGACAATAACACATCGTGGCTGACAAGTAGGATGGGGAAAATTAAGCATCCTATGTAGCCCAAAAGAACTGTTAAGAAAGATATTTACGGAACTTGTCATACTGGATAATTTGCCATGAGGAAGGGCCAGGTGGCAGGTGAGTGAGGGGGTGGGTAGGGAGCAGGCATCCCAGGACGGCCAGGTGGCACCCTACCTTGCTGATGACAGGTTCGTGAAGGGTGAGTAGTGAGAAGACACAGGTGAAGCCCTATCACGATGGTCACAATAACACTGTCCCACCTTGAACCCTGGCTTGCTTTATAGTTAGCAATACTGAGGATGTCTAATTCCAAAAGAACAAAGGCTTTGGGGGGGGGGGAAGTTCTGAAACTGGAGTGAGCAAGAAATTCACTGCTAGGAGTAGAGGTTGCATGTTCAAAATGCAGATTTCTAAGCCTTCATCTAGAAGTTTTTGATTCAGAAGGGCTAGGGCGGTGGTGCTCAATCAGGGAAGATATTGAGCCCACCTCCCCAGGAGACACTGAGCAACGTCTAGAGACAGTTTTCATTGTCACAACTGCGGGGGAGGGAAGCCTAGTATCTAGCGGGTAGAAACCTGGGACGTCCCCAAGCTGCATTTCACAGGACAGGCTCTCCCAACAAAGAATCATCTGGCCAAAAATGTCAATAACGCCTGGGTTGGAACAGCTCCTTCTAGGGCAAGGGCAGGTGTGTGCATTTAACAAAGGCCTTGAAGAAATTTCAATGCAGGAAGCCGAAGCTTTAACAATACCTTTCTTTTTAATCTGAAGGCATGGATACCACAGTTCCTTTTGCCTAACTCCTTTCCCACATTTAAAACTCAGTTTTGACTTAACTCCCCCATCTCCATGAAGCCCTGCCTAGTAACCATCCTTCCTTCCTCCATGTCCTCATTCATCGCCTCTCCCAGGACCATCTCTGTCCCAGGCTGCATCACTTGCCCCTTATTTATTCCTCCTCCTGGAAGGGGCACTCCTTGAGGCCAAGGTCCAGGTTCATCTTGTTCAAAGACCTGCTCCTGACACCTTGAAATGCGCCCGGCCCCCAGCAGGACTTCATCTTCCCACGTTAGCTTGGCTCTGCCTGGGCTCAAATGACATCACCTGTATTGAATTTAGAGCCATCTCCCCACCAATGTGGGGCACTATTATAGCGCTCAATTTTACCATCTTCGTGGCGCTTATCATTCTGAAATTATCTTGTTTATTTGTTTGCTTTCCATTCATTCAACACACTGTACGGAGTACTTACTATTGCGCTTTGCCAGCAATTAGAGATACAACTGAACAAAGAGGCAAACAGCCCTCTTCCCACTGGAGATAAACAAACAAACAGAAAACTGGGTGTCTCGTGTACAACACTGGTAAGTCAAGAGGGGAGAAATAAACTGGAGCAATGGGATGGAGAGAGTGGGGGTGTGTGTGTGAGAGTGTGTGTGTGTGTGTGTGTGTGTGTGTGGTGTAGGATTTTAAGTAAGGTGGACTCTGGGAAAAGGTGACATTTATGCAAAGACTGGACATCAGACTAGGGGCCACTTCTCTGCATGCCCTGTTAGAACATAAACACCCAGAGGGTCAGGACCTTCCCCTTCCCTATGGCGGCTGGGTCTCCAGAACAGGTACACAGTAGGTGCTCAATAAGTACTGTTGGAAGGAAACAAAAACAAGATTATCTGTTCAGACTGTCCAGTAGGCAGAAGAGAGGTTTCTGTTTCTATGACCAGCCATTGATAACCAGAAGCTGGGAGGGACAGAGACTTAAACTTGGGGAGGGTGGGAGGGGCATTTTGAGGGCTCAGGTTAAGACAGAGGATGGAGATTACCACCAGATCAACGTTCCCTCCCCCAAGCAAACCCAAGTTCTCCCTCTTCTAAAATTGCTGATGGTCCCTGCTGGTCAGTCACCATGACCCTGTGAGTCTCCCTTTCCGGCCTCCCAGCTTTGGAGTTTAGCCAGCACCCTGCCTCCCCGTCACACCGCCTCCGGTCCCCCTGCTTCCCTGTCTTAGGCGTCGCTTTCCTTCTCACCTCCTGCCCTCCCCGTCCCCTCCCTCTCCCGGAGGGGTGTCCCCGCGCCTGCTGGGCACGCCCTGGCCCTGGAGAGCCTGGTGCGCCCAGGGATCCCTCCCGGGTCCCCGCCCCCAGCCCCGCTCCCCGGCGGGACACTGTCCCTTTAATAGACTCCCTCTGCCTGGCGCTCTGCGGCTGGGGAGTAAATTTCTCCCTGTCATCAGGTCGCGGGCAGAGGAGGAGGAGTTTGTTAATGTTCAGTTTGTTCAGCGGGATCGATGTTTGCTGGCATCGCCTCGCCCTGTCTTGTGTGTGTGTGTGAGCGTGTGTGTGTGTGTTTGTGTGTGTGAGTGTGCATATGTGGGGGGTGTGAGTGCGTGTGTGAGAGGAAGCGGGAGTACGTGTGAGTGTGTGTGTCTGTGTGCGTGTGTGTGCGTGTGTGTGTGAGAGAGTGAGTGAATTCCAGATTTTCAGTCTTTCCAAAACCCGCTCCTGTCCTCTCGCATATCACTCACAGACGGGGATCTGACAGCAGACACAGACCTACAGAGAGTGATCTCTCTCCCCCCTGCGCGGATCCGCCATCGAGATCGGCACGGAGGAGGAGGAAGAGGAGAAGAAGGAGGAGGAGGAGGGAAAGAGGAGAAGGAAGAAGAAGAAAAAGAAGAAGAAACCCACTACCTTCCCAGGATTGCCTTTTTCCTTATCTTTACGCGCGCGTGTGCGTGTGCCGCGTGCGCCCCTCGTCCCTTCCATCTGAACCCGGTCTTGGATGTTTAATAAAGAAATCAAGTGTCTCAACAGTCACCTAAAAAAAAAAAGCAAAAACAAAACAAAAAAAAATCCAAAAGCCAAAACAAAAAGAGAAAGAGAGAGGAAAAAAAAAACCAAAACAAACAAACAAACAAGGCAGAACCAACCTCTACTTCAACCCAGCCGGCACAAGCCACCCGTGTCTGCCACCCGGAGAGGGGGGTCTCTGGCCCGTGGTGGAGGAGTTGCAGGGGGGATCGTCAGGGGGACTGAGGCCGAGTGACGTCCTAGGAGCCACCGGGCGAGAGGCGGAGGAGACCCAGAGAGGCCAGAGAGACAGCGGGCCCCCGCGCGCGGCTCGGGGCTGGGGCGCCAGAAGTGGGACTGGAGCGGAGTAGAGCGATGCCAAGGAGGAAACAGCAGGCACCCAAGCGGGCGGCAGGTAAGAGAAACGGCTCCGCTCCGGGGCTGGCCAGCCCGGGCTGCCCGGCGCGCCGCGCTCCTCGCCCGCCCTCCTCGCCCCTGGGTGCCCGGGCACGCCACCCCCTTACGCTTTCGGTGGAGTTCGCTCTGGGCGCCCCTCCGATAGATCACCCGGTCCTCTCTCGCTCTCGCTGCTCGCCCACATCCTGCCCTTCCAGCTCCGGTTGGGTGGGGGGGAGCTATCCCACCAAGCCTTCCCTCCTAAACTTTTTTCCTCCACCCTCTACCCCACCCCTAACTTTCTCCTAGTCTGTTTCTTGCCTCTTGGGCCAAAGTAGGATTGAGGATTTGGGGTGCGGGAGTAGGGAGACAGCCCCTCCACCCCCGCATCCCTCCGCATGGTCAGTGCCGGCGGCTTCTGGCCTCCGGGGACAGCGTGTCCTCTGGCTGGGGCTCGGGGCGCGGAAGTGAGAGGTATGCCCAAGACCTGGGCTGTAGGCTGGCTTTGGGGCGAGCACTAAGAGTTTAGCTTTGATCACCAGGGTGGAGAAAACACCCTAGGAAATGGATGAGTCTTTGCATATGTTTTCTAAAAGGATCCACCACTTTGGGAAATCTAATCAACTCTCTTCCCTTCTCTTAAAAAAAAAAAAGTGTGGGGGGTGTACCCCATAGAAATTTAAACAACTTTGGGTTTTCTTTGCCTACAGAGAGTTGCAAACTTTGTGGATTGATTCCTATGGTAGGAACTATCCCATCTAAATGCTCACTTCTCCCCCCCCCCATAAAAAGATAGGAACAGGTTAATAGATCAGTACAATAGACCTTCTAAGAGATTTTTTTTTTTCCTTTTGGGTTGCTTAATTGCTTTTTTTAATAGTATGCTGGGGTTTTGTTTCTCGGAAGTGTAATATGAAAGTTCATTTTTCTCCTGCCAGACCCACCCACTGAAAAATCAGCTTTCCACTTGATTGCTAGTTTTGATTTGACATTTGATTGATCACCTGTCATCTCGCTGCCTTTGATCTATTCATTCTTGATATATATCAATAAATCACTCACCATGGTAACTCAGAGTGCCAGTGACGCAAGCCTTGCCCTCTATATTCAGAGCCAGACATGCACAATTATTATCTTGTTTGGCTTTTAATGTGGGTGTTTTTATTTCTTTGTGTCCTCTGGTTGAATCAGGGCTTTAGCAAAAAGCTTAAGTTTTGTTGTTTTTTTCCCCTCTTTCTCTGTCTGTCTCTGCCCTCTTGGTTTAGCCAGGGTTAGTGAAGGCTGATCTTCCACACACTCACCTCAACATTTCATTCTGTTCCAACTCCAGCAAAACATAGCGAGAAGTTCGGTGGAACCCTTTGATAAACTTTGCAAAGTCACCCCTAGAACAAATCCGAAGTTAGGAATCTGGAGAAAGTGGGCATTTGTGTGTGAACACGCAGAACCACCAAGTTCACCCTCCATAGTTGCCTGATTCCAGCCTGCCTGGCAATTGTATGTATTTTGAAACATCCACAATTATCTTCCCTTCAGAACACAGAATTGCTTCCGTAACCATTTGTAGGTTGGTTCGACTGGCATGCGGAAATATTATTTATAAAGCGTTCATTTGTATGTTTTCCAATTGTTTCCCTAAGAGTAAAATAATTTAAATAATTTTAGCACCATGTATATTTGGAACTTGCCTCATCAGGGAGGTTTTCTTTTTTCCCCCTCTAGCTACTTCTTTTAAAGGCAATTCCTCCCTCCTACCCTTGTTTTTTCCTGCTTTCAACTCACTTATGTATTAGGACTCAGATTGCTTTGCAATCTGACAGCATTGGGTGTGTGCAAAGGCTTTGTGACTTAGGGAAGAGTAAGCTTGCTGCTTCTAGTTCTGGCAACATAAGTTTAAGTGTAGCTAGATTATTAGAGATAACGTCCTTATTGTTGTCCCGAAAGAAAACCCTGGGCTACCGTCCAGCAAGAAGTGATACTGCCCTGAAAATTACTCTCTCTCTCTCTTTTTTTTTTTTCCTTGTTGTTCCGGTAAAGGCCATCAACAACTAGGCAGTAATTTAAATTACCAGAATGACTGGACATGTCTCTTTTAGTAAGCTCATTACAAAAAGTGCATTGCTCAGAATTGCACGACTTTGATTATAATTATCCTCTGATCAATGAGGATCCAGGTGGACGTAACAGAATGCTGTATCACATTATTTAAATTACATCTTTTTCATTAAGCTGTCTCTATTGGTGCTGGCTAGTGGATTTATTATATAGCGTGTGTAGATGTGTGTGTTAGAAACTTGTGTCTGTGGTTTCAGTTTTCTAGCCTATTGTGTTTCTGGTGTCTCTGTTTGTTTTCGTGACATGATTTTCCCTGGAAGAAGTGGAAACCCTTTGCAAGCTGAAAGAGAATAATTCATTTCGCACACAGTGAGGCCCCTCACGCTGTATTTATTTGCTCACATATTAATAGAGCAGACAGTTTTTCATGTGGTGTTCCTTCCACTCATCTGAGGTCACCAGCGCACTAGGCTGTTTTAGCGGAGGGGGTTATTCACAAGTAAAGTTGGCCAATCTGGGATTCTTTAGGCAGTTAGCGACCAGGGAAGAGGAAAAGGTAGGTTCTGAGAATGTGGCCATGCTAACTTTTATCACCGCTAAGAATTAAACCTAACGTACAACTGTAAGTAATTATGCCCGAGGACTGTTGTTGAAAGCTTGATTTCTGGCTTGATTAATGAATAATGGGAGATAGAAAAAGCACATGAGTGCATCAGCGCTGAGGTTCTCCCAGAGTGCTCTTGTTCCCAAGAACTGTTCCAGGCAATCTGATTTCTTTGCATTATTAGTTTTAAGTTCCATGTTTCAAGGAATCAATTACAGAACTTTCTAGCAAAGTAGGTATCTAAAAGAGAAGAAGCAGGGTGATATGATAAGTGATGGGGAATTTTAATCTTGGTAACATTCTTTCCCCTTCAGGGGGAAGGGCTGTGAGGTAGGCAAGTCTCCTTAAGAAACAGCTAAGTCAGAATATTTCCCTCCGAAATGTCATTCTGCCTGGCTTTTTTAAGCTATGCTATTCCACCATGCTCTTACTTACAGCAAGAAAAAAAGTTTAGAAAGCAGCCTACAGTACCCCTGGGGTTTCTGTGCGTGTGTGCATATACGCTTGCTTCCTCGGACGTGTATTTCACCCACCATTAAAATGCATCCACTTTTACCTGAAAATATTGCAACATTCTGTTCCAGCATCTTCCCCCTCCTGTCCATTTTAGAGGAGATACAGAAGATGGCAGGAAAGTGAAATCAAACAGAGCAGTGTTCTGACTTGTTTGTATTTTACGGGATGCAGAGTGGTTAAAAATTTAAAATCGCAGATGCATAATAACCCTTCGATGCGCTACAGTCTATCTCTGCCTCTGTCCACGACAAGTAGACTACATATTTTATTTCACTATCCTGAACTAGTGTGTTTATACTAAGGCCAGCCAATTGCAATTGAACACGAAATCTTTGTGAACACATATACATGCGAATATCTCATCAGTACGTAAGTTATGGGATTCTGCCCCTGCCCACCCACAGCGATGAGACGCTTCCTTCTTGCTGAATCTCAGAAGCTTTCTGATAAGCCAGATCTGAGGAAAGTCTTGCAGGAAAGAACAGCTTCCTCAATTTATTTTGTTTATTTAATATGGAGATGAATAATGCAGATTTTGTTTTCATGAATGTCCTTGTGTGGTAAACATTAGACTATTAGCAATCATTACTTAAAAGTTGCAATTTGCACCTTAATAGCACAGGTTATTTACATGGGAAACGTATTCAGCAGGGACAATTTTGAATACTACAGTGGAGCAGAGATGACCCAAGGAGCTCTTTCTGCACCTCAAGATAGTGATGGCTCTGAGGTCCTAGAAATCTCAACTATTAGGGGTTGGGGGGGGTCAAGGGCAGGCATCTCAGGATGTTTACCTTTAATTCCCTGGCAAGAGGGACAGGATTCAAGAGAGTAAGAATCAGATAGATTCGGGACCCTGGTTCATGCTCTCTCATTTTGTTGGAACCTCCTTCAGACAGACAAGTTCACATCTTGAATGTTGAAATATCTCACACTGTAAATCCCTTCACCTAGCCAAACAAGATGGCTTTAATAGGTGAACAGAAAAATACACACACAAAATTAAGCCCAAAGAGTCTTCAGCAACAGGAACTGTTTTGGCTATTCTTGTTGTTTAAGGCAGATCTCTGAAAGGGGAAGGATAGATACCGTGAAATCTCAGTGTCTTGCTTTGAAATTGATTGCTTAAGTGGTCTTCTCTCCACTCCCCTCCTGATTCCCTTCTCCCACCTCTCACCTCACCCTTAAAGACCCAGATTGAATGGGACATCTCAAAAGCCCATTTGTTTTAGGCATTTATTGATTTCATTTTTAATCTGCCATATCCGGACACAATATGTTAACCCTAATCATAGATTGCAAGTGACAGGGAGCGGGGAAAGTAGGTGAAGGAGAAGGGGTGGGGGGAAACTTCTTGACAGTGAAAATCTTCTCTGAGGTTCTCGGGGGAGTTGAACAGTGAGGGCTACTTTTGTGGAGGGTAGAAACATTCCTCAGAAATACTCTACTTTTCTTCTCCCATATTCTATTTCTTTATTTTCCCCCCCCCAGTCACAGATTCTATTCCTAACCTTTGGGAAAGCTTAACACTCAACAAATACCTCCCAGGCATCTCGACTTATGTCACCTTCTCCAAAGGAGGTTTATGCTTTCATTTCATCCCAGCTGACTTCTCCCTCATTTGATGGAATTTCCCCTGTTAGATAATATACCTGGGTTGATCTATTTCTCTTCCCAGGGGCTTGGGAATTGTGCTCTCCCGTGAGCAGGTTTTAAAAGGGGGACCGAACCTAGCATTATTTAAGGCCATTGAAACGAGGCGCCTCTGCGCATCACTGCAGCTGAGCTTAGGAGAGTCAGCCAGGAAGGAGATGCAGGCCCTGCTCATGTTTGTGCTGGGTCTG